CACGTTTTTTTTACTGAAGTTTGGCTCTTTAATATAAACTCTATTTTGAGCTGCGATTGTGTGCGACTGTGGCCGCAAATGATAAATTTATTTAATTTGCCATAAATTGGCGGAGTAACTAAGACGACGCACGCAATGACAACGCAACCCCTGAGTTCAGAATTCCGAACCCTTAACCCCTGGTTACCCCTCGTCCTTTTGAGGAGTATGTCTTACAGCAAAAGTTTATGCAAAACAAGCCACAAAAATTAACGTTTGTCACATTGCGCATGGAATGCGACAAATCAGTGGCAAAACTTTAACCCGCAGACAGGTTTTTTTTTATTTTTTGTGGAAAGGAGGAGGAGGGGGCGTGGCAGGCACACATGCCAACGTCAAACAATCTCATCGATTTAGCAGGGGGTATCAAAAATACTAAAGGAACGAAGAGTTTTGGGCCAACAAGTTGTTGTCGCCGCTTCTGTTTTTTTTTTGGATCGTTGTTTTTGTTTTTGAGCTTATTTATGCGACATTTTCATTGTGTGTTTACGGTTCCGAAATGAATAAGTGAAATGTGGAATAGATTGAAGAAGCGCCGAAGTGATGGGGTGGTGGGTGGTTGTGGGTTAAATGGGGTGGAAAATGGGAACTACGAGGTGGGCGATGGCAGAAAAAAAAACCGCGGCTTGCGCTTCTGCAAACAGAGTCACATGCAAAGGCGCACTTAAAACTGCAGACGCCACATAATTGTCGCCCCCTGCAGCAGCTGCTGCATAAAAAACCCCCCCGCTACCCCCTTTTGCAACCTTTTACCACCGCCCCTTTACCATCTCTTTTGACACACACAGATAAAAGGGAAATCGCTAACAAATTGGTTCAAAATTAATTTTTTATTAAATTTTGTGTAGCCTGTTTTCCCAGTTTCGATTCATCATCTCGTGAAAAAATATGGATATTTTGTTTAATGTTAAATTCCATAAATAAGTATAATAACCAAGGGATGTTTGGTAACAAATTGTTTCTATTATGAGTCCGCTAGACGTATTTATACATTCCTTATAAGTTGAATTGCTTAAAAAAAATATTTCATAACATTAACATATTTTTTGAAGGGATTAAGACAGAAATTAATAATTAATTAATTAATAATTACGTCAAATGTTGATAATATTTAACAAATATTTATATATCTACGTATGAACAATATTGTTCCCAGTGTATAGACGACAACTGTCACTGGTTTTTGACACGGATTCCCTCTCTTTCTTTGCGGCGCATCGCGAGTTAAGCAAACTGCAACCAAAAACTAAACGCTCGGGGGCAACCTTTGCGACCTCCGAAACCCCTGAACCCCTGACCCCCTAACCCTTAACCCTTAACCAATCCCCCGCCCCCCCCCCCCCCCTTTCCCGCCGCCCAACTAATGACTCATTAAATAACCCGCTGCACCAAGGGGTTAAGGCGCAGCAGGATGTAGAGTTTGGTGGAATGGGAATGTGTGCATATTCATGAGCTTCGTGTTAAGCTGCCATTTTGACGTCAACTGTTGGCAGTGTTTACATAGCCGAAAAAGCCGAGCGAAGAACAGTGAGTGCACACACGGGTTTGAGTATGTGAATATGAATATGAATATCAAGCCATCAATCAGTGTGTGTCCCTGTCTCTGTGTCATTCGAGTGCGTCGCTCTGCAGCCACTTGACATGCATTCGGGCATTCGAGGATTCGAGCTCCAAGCTCCAAGGATCGGGCCAACTCTGCCCAAAATAACTAAATGAATATGATCATGAATGATGGCCCAAGCGGCATTTGAGTGTTTTGAGTGATGGAGATTGATTTAACCGCAGCTACTTAGGCTGAATGAATCGTGGCGAGCACTGAAGCATAAATTCTGGTTGTTGCAAATAATTCGGATTAGATATATCCTTATAGTACTAAAACGAAAGCCATAGATGTGATAATTTTTTGATAATGAGGAAACTAAGGAAATACCCTTGTTCTATCGAATTTATGTTTTTTTTTTAGCTTTGTTACTATAGCTTAATTTCCGATTGGGAAAACCATAATTAAACGAACCGACAAGGTTGTCTGGGCCGTTTCCCATACTCGGCTCTACCCCTAACCTGCATTTATGCTAGCCAATTAATAATATGAGACATCACGCATACGCCACATATGCCAGATTTGCATCAGGACATGGCCCCCTCTTCCTGTTTAAACCCTTTCCTCCCTCGGTTAATTCCCATACCCATGGCTCCCGGCAACGGAAATCGATTAGTCATAGCCATAAAACCGAAATGGATGTTTATCGCTGATAGTTTTTTGGGGACCGTAATTAAGAGGTTTTCCGATTGGGTGGCGGGTAAGTTGCAAGGTTAAGGTAATAACACTTTTGCATGCCAGACGATTCACCAATTTCGGTAGATGTTTACTCGCCTTACTCACATTTTTTTTTTCAACTTTGTACCCTGGTTTAAACTAGACTATAATGCTGGCATTTCTTTTTTTTTTGGCGCCCCCTCCAAAGCACTTTGGCTGTTGATAAAAGCGAGTTAATGATTCGATGGAACGCTAAGCGCTAACGAGCAATAATCAAATCAAAAATACTTTTTACAAATTGCTGTTAAACAGCTTTTCCTCTCTCGCTGGAAACTCATCTGAATTTTTATACAATTTTCGAAGCAACATGATGGCAGCGGAGTGAACCTTTTTTTTTAGCCCCACATTACGGGGGGCGTTGGGGCGACTTCTCTGGCTCCAGAAAAGCAAACCAAACCACAACACACACCTCTTAACTTGTTTGTTTGCGGCTTTTGGCCTGTTGGCGCTCTTTTGCGTTTTCCATGCGCCCGCGCGTATCAATTATCGACTCGAATTTAGCCCTCCTTTTGGATGACTCGTCTTCCCAGTTTTTCCGTACCTCATTCACCGCCTTTTTTTTTTGTTTGCTCGGCAATTTGCACAGCAGCAGCGGAAATAACAGCACCTTTTTACACATTTTAATGACAAAATACCTTCACATTAGAAGGTTTTTAAGGTCATATTAATGATTATTTTTTCTTATTCAAGACTTAACCATAGTAAACGAATAACAGCAATTTTAGGATGTGAGAAAAAAAAGTTACTTACCCTTTCAGCACTATTTTTTCTGCCTCAATCGTATGTGTGTTGCATACTTTCTGGCGGCGCTTTAAGTTCAAGTGCAAGTCAGCGGCGGAAAAAGGGAAAAAACCGTCTGCTATCCCATCCAAACTGATCCCATTTCAAGGAAAAGCGAGGGGAAACAGAAAATAACACAAAGCTTCGATGGGGTGGAGAAATTCCATTTGACACTCAGCGAAGAAGACACAATGCAACAATGCACAATGGAGGTGAAGATGAAGCCAAAGGAGCTGCGAAATAGTGCATTCCGGGAATGCGGAGGAAAGTACCAGTCATTAGGGATAAATTTATGGGCATTGGGAATAGTAAAAGCCGTAATTGATATAACCAATATTTATGAAAGTCAAATGGGGACTTAATCAAATGTGTGTCAAGTTGAGTTACAAGGGCAGATTATCTATTATTTGTGAACATTTAAAACTTTAATCTTCATCAGTAATAGCTTTAATAAAATTAGAATAATAAAATTGAAATTGTTCAAATAGAAATATGTTGAAAGCTGCAAATAAGAAATCCAAATAATAAGAAAAAGTGAAAGGCGGAAATCCCCAGCTGGACGATAAACCCAACCCCCTTCTTTTTTCACCTTTATCAAGAAAATGCAGGAAGGAAAAACTTGTTTTCCGACTTGCGGATTATAATTTGTTGTTTGTGCGGGGCCGTCAAAAGGATTAGGATCACACGTCTGGCCAAATAATTGGAGCCCAACAACCTTTGGCAGCCGAAATCCTTTATGTGCCCTTCTGCCCATCTGTTTTTTCAGTATCCCCCCCCACTATTTGAATCTTTAATGTCAATAAGCGGCAGTTGGAAAATAAAAACAAGCAGAGGCCAAGAAACAAAAATCATATTTGCCTCCGTTTGCAAATTGACTTGAGGCGCCTTCGCCTTTCCATTTTATTTTGTTTTCGCCTGTCTGTCTGCCAGTCCACAATGAAATTGTCAAATTGTTGCCCGGAATTTTCCTCGCCTTCGTGTTGAAAATTGCCGAAAGGAAAACTTTGGCGATTTGTGTGCGGCCCAAAAGTTGCTTAAGTTTTCGCCACTGCAGTTCCACATTAAATGCCACATTGGCGATGACAAATCGTTGACTTACGGCGGCCAATGGCCCTAGTCCACAGAAAAAAAAACAAAAATAAACATATTAATTTATATTGTTTATATAGATTTCAACAATATCAAATGCAAAGGATATAATATTCCACATTGTGCAAAATATGGGATTATTAAGATTAAGGTCTAGAGTTTAAATCTGCGCATACTGTGAAACATCAAGAGAAATCTGCGCTAATTGTTTGCTCCCGAATTGGCTTTTACTTTAAGCCGCTCTGATTACGACACCCACTCCCCCTAATGTTCACTTAACTTTTCTTTACTTTTAATTAGCCCCTGCTCGCGGCTCTTCTGTTTTTTACCCCAGCCTCTCTCTTTTTGTTATCTATATCCCTCTGCGCGATTTTCCCGGCTGTTTGTAATCAAATCCGCGTTGTGTCACTTTGTATGGGTAGCTACATAAAGAAAAAATTATCCAAAAATATTTCTGAAATTGCTTAAGAGTCTTGAGTAGCTGCTGCTGCTGTTGCTCCTGTATGAAATATTAAGCGTAGTCCGGCGGAAAAAAGGGTTCAAAAGGCCAACAAACATGCACAGGAAACTGTGGCTAACGAGGGGAGGGGATTTCAGAGTCCTGTCACACAACAAACACCTAACAAACTTTTGCTTTCAAGTTGACGAGAACTGGCTCCATGGGTCGGCGGAAATCCTTGTTAAACTGCATCCGGTTGTCATCTAATTGCAGGCTGTCAAATCCATCTGACATTCCTAAATATTAAATTCCCCCCTTTTTTTTGTGTATTTGCAGAATGCCTGGCCACCGAGTTCAGATGCAACAATGGGGACTGCATTGATGCCAGGATGCGTTGCAATCATATTGCGGACTGTAGCGAAGGCGAGGACGAGAACGAGGAGTGCCGTAAGTGATAGATACATGTATATATAAGGCTTAGATCACCATTATCTGGTAGAGAACACAGTGCTAATCAATCTAAGGGTGTACCTATAAGACACCCCTTAACTATGATTAAACTAGGCAATTATAGTATCTAAGATGTAGAATAAGCCGGTAATGCGAAATACTTTAATTACCGAAACAGTACAATTAACATGACCCCTTTCTCCTGTTTAATCCTAGTGTTATAAATCTAAGCTTATAGTATCTAAAAAGATGGACTCTTAGTGTTAATGGTCCTTCAAAATCTGTCGGCTAGTCAAACAGCAAAACTAACACGACAAACGCTCTCTTAATCTCTCTTTGCCGTAACTCCTACTTTGCTAATCAGTACAGTTTAAATGACCTAAGCTTATAGTATCTAAGACGGGGTAAACATCTTTATTCGACATACGTCGGTTAGCCAACAGCACTACTAACCACATCTCTTTTCTCTCGTTTAACCCCCAAAACACGCTAACCGCTACCACTAACCCATACTACTAACAGCCGCCGCCTGCAGCGGAATGGAGTATCAATGTCGCGACGGCACGCGCTGCATCAGTGTGAGTCAGCAGTGCGACGGTCATTCCGATTGCAGTGACGCCGACGACGAGGAGCATTGCGACGGAAGTGAGTAATCACCCATCTACATCCATAACCACATCCGCCCTACTGCCCAAAACATATCTTTGACTACGCAGCGTTGCTAAAATAAAACACAAAAGTATCCAATTGAGTTTTCGAAATTTTTACAAAATATAAGTGATTCTTATTATTAAATGTTTGCGCAACACTGCATAGGCAAAGCACAGTTCCTCCCTAACATCTCTCCATTTCTTCATCATTTTGTATCTCCATTCGAATTTCCCTTAAATGCTGCTGTGGTACAGTTGTGCCCAAGCTACGATACACATGCCCCAAGGGCAAATTTACCTGCCGGGACTTGAGCTGCATATCGATTGTCCATCGCTGCGATGGCAGGGCCGATTGTCCGAACGATCGATCGGATGAAGAGGGCTGTCGTAGGTGTCCGGTATTGGATTAATTATCCCCGATAGTGATCAATTCTGTCTCTTTTCCTTCCTGCTTCTCGAATGGGAACGCAGCCTGTCTGTACGACAAGTGGCAGTGTGACGATGGCACCTGCATAGCCAAGGAGCTGCTCTGCAATGGCAACATCGACTGTCCCGAGGACATTTCCGATGAGCGCTACTGCGAGGGTGAGTAAAAATACGAAGCGTTGCTCTTGGCCATTGAGAGTGGTAAGTTTATTCCTTTCCCTGTCACTTCATATCAAATCCCGCCTGAATCATCTCACCTCACCGAAACAATCACAAACACTCGGCAGAAAACTAACAAACGCATGCTATCGGTATCGATAAATATCGGTCGTCGTCGGCAGGTGGTTACGATGACGAGGAATGTCGGCCCGGTGATTTCCGTTGCGGAACCGGTGAGTGCATTCCGATGCGTCAGATGTGCGATAACATCTACGATTGCAACGATTATTCCGATGAGGCCGATTGCGGTAAGCGTTAAGTGTTATCGAGGAGTTTCTTTTCTTCTCTGCTTTGCTTTGTCGTGGCTCCTTGGGTAACTAAAATCGATAATTGGTGTTGGTCTCTTTCTCTCCCTCCCTCTACCACTCTATCTCTGTCTTAGTGCCTTTTTATTAGCTGTCCTGTGTGTGCTGTTTTTGCTGATATCGCTTTTATCGCTTTTTGTGCGATAGCCACCTATCGAAGTTTGTGTGTCAATCGATATCTTTTTGACTTTGATTTTAACTTGAAGCATTTTATTTTTCTTTTACCCCTCCAATCCGAAAAAAATGTGTATTGAATCCCCTGGTTTTGGTTATCGAATGCCCACAAATTAATCGATTAACCGCACGTCAACCTTATTTGGAATCAACCTGCAACACCGATGATCTACGAATTGGCCCAACGATAATATTAAAAATTAAATGCATGTGCTAATGAAACCCCCCCTTAACCCCAAAAAACCCGTGGTCTGCATGCGGTTGTCTCATGTGTCGTCTATCGTATATCGTAAAATCCACAATCAACCAACCAATAATTGGACGATAACAGCCGAGGAGCAGGATAGTGTGGGCATACCCATTGGCCACCAGCCGCAGAGGCCCAGGCCTAACGACTGGCTGAACGAACTGGATGCAAACGAGTACCATGTTTATCAGCCAAGTAATGTCTATGGGACGGCCAATTCCAAGAATCCCTGTGCCAGCAATCAATTCCGCTGCACCACCTCAAATGTTTGCATCCCGTTGCATTTGCGGTGCGATAACTTCTATCACTGCAACGATATGAGCGATGAGATGGGCTGCGAGCAATACGAACGACGCAGCACCACCCGACGCCCTTTGACCTCGGCCAGGCCCTCCTTCACGACAGAGGGGCCAGGGCAGCTGGAGCGTCGCAACACCACTAGAACCACAGGCAGCACCTCCAGAGCCACCGAATCACCTCATTGGCCCTGGCCAGCGGTAACGAGAACGACACCCGCAGCCAGAACCACCGAGACCACCACCACTAACCCAATAACAACAGCAGGCGTAGCGAGTAGGTGTCCTTGAGAATCGGTGATAAGCGTAGCATACTTAAGTGGTTAAAGAATAACCTGGTTATTGCCAATAGAGGATCTTGTGCAGCACAATATGAGTGGTAAAACGAACATTCCTGGGAAAAGAGAGACAGTGAAAGACAGTTAACTTTTTATTTCATCAACTCCCCTCCCCGGGATATTTTCGTTTTTGCAGCAATTTTGTTGCACTGATACCCCGAGCATGAATGCAATAATAACTGGTATAGGGTAATTGGTAACATTACCTTAAATATCTAAGTCGCGATGATGGTTTAGGCAGCGTAAAGTTAAGTAAAAGTGCATGCCATGTTTGAAACATTGAAACCTACTTTAGTCCGCCGCACAAACACACCCACACACACCAAAACAATTTAGTTAGTTAAGCATTTCATTTATAAGCTCTTTTAATTGAATTCATGCAGCTCATACCTGTACATACATATACACATTGCTCACTCACTCTTGCTCTCTTTCTTTCCGTTCTCGTTATGGCTTGTTTTACTATCATTGCGATTATACATATGCCCTGTTGTGTCACCCATCATCAACACCCCCAACAAAAAAAAAAAAAAAAAAAAAATGCCACACATATAGGCAACTCACCCCAGTCATGCCTCGAAAACATCGAATTCGCGTGCCACAATCGCGATTGCATTCCGATTGAGAGCGTCTGCGATGGCATCCCCGACTGCGGACGCGATGAAGACGAGGACGACGCTCTTTGCAAGTGCACCGCCGACAAGGTGAGCCACCCACCCATCCACCGGCCACCCACCACCTCCCAGATTGACCCACACATCCTCATTCCCATAACCAACTGATATGTATTCTCTGTGCTTGTTAGGAAGAACCAAATGGCCTTATTTCATTAGGGACTTCATCCTTAAAAGCCAACCGTTCATATTAATCAAGCAGATATCTGTCTCCGTGATTTCAGACTATATTCTATTAATTTATCAATTCGTTTAATTCTTTGGAATCTTATTTTTCGATGCCATATATCAAGAAAGGTCTAATAACAAGCACTATGAAGATATTATCACAAACTCCCACATTCCCATCTACACACATCTGTTAGAAATGGGAAAGTATCGATATCTTATCGATATACGTTCCCATTTCTAACATCTGTACAAAAACACGCACACCTTCATGTTTTCTTTAGTTCAAATGCCAACGCGGCGGAGGCTGCATTCCAAAAACCCAGGTGTGCGATGGCAAACCTCATTGCCGCGACCGCAGCGACGAGAGTGCCTGCCGTAAGTACCATCTCTATCATTTTTTATATCTCAGGGTTCGTAAAAAGTAACTATTACTTTCAAATACATATTTTACATTCCCATTTTAATGAATGCTTACGAACCCTGCCATCATCCCTCTTTCCATTATCGATTATCTGTCCCTCTCCTTCTTTCTAACAAGCTTTTGGTTAAATTCACCTTTGTAATTATAGCTCTAGATAAAGTTAGAGTTCGATGCTAACTTAGATAAGTAAGCAGCTCCCTGCGAATTGGCTTTACATTTAACTGCTTTTGCCACGCCCACCGAATTTGCCCGCCTTCCACATTTCGATTTTTGTTGCTAACTGTACTTTCTGTTTTGTTCTCTCTTCGCCCAAAAACGAAACGAATATCCCGTGTACAAATCTTTCCCGTATTTTTGACACCCTGAAACGTAATACTCTGCTATCCCCGCTATCACACAACATACATCGCCCGCCCCTGAAAAACTACGATCTTCAGATCTTCATGGAAGATCAAATAAGACCCGTTTGGGGGTCCAGTGCCTGGAGAACCAGTATCAATGTGGCGATGGGAGCTGCATCTCCGGCTACAAACGATGCAACGGCATCAGCGATTGTGACGATGCCGCCGACGAATACGACTGCAACTACAACTACGGTAGCCCTTCCCATCCATCTACTCATCATTCATATCACTCGGCAGTTGCTTTTAAAGTTGCGGACTGCTAAAGGGGTTTCTTAACAAGTGTTAATGGGAGGATCTCAATCTTAAAGGCAATCTAAAAGGGGTTTAGAAAAAAAATTATAATTATTAAATTATAAATGCAAATTTGGAAATAATAATTGATATTACAAATTATACACCTTAAAGAAGCATATAGAAAAACCATATGAATTGCATTTAAGAAACACCCCTTCATTCGCATTTCTTAATGGCCTAGAAAAGTTATGCCGCAATTTTAACTGCAACTGCATCTTTCCGTCTGACTCTACGAATCTATCGATCGACCTGTCTGCGGAACCCGCAAATCAACATAACATTTATCTTTTATCTTTCCAACTTTTCATACACCTTAAACACACTCACATAAAACACAAAAACAGACAACTATCCGGATCCACTGAATGAATGTGATATCCTTGAGTTTGAATGTGACCAAGGTCTGTGCTTACCGCTAGAGAAGAAATGCGATGGCTATGCAGACTGTGAAGACTTGAGCGACGAAGTCGAGTGCCAGTCGTACACAGGTAAAGACCCCCAGAATCGGGGCTAACCTAATGGCTCCAGGTGCTACTTCCACTAAGCCTAACCTAATCCTAACGAACCAACCCAGCCACCCACTCGATATCATACAACCCTCACCCACATTCACAATCCACATTCGCTCCTCATCATTCGCAGAGAATTGTCTAATGTCTGAGTTCGAATGCGATGGCTACTGCCTGCCCCGCGATCAGTTATGCAATGGAATTATCAATTGCCAAGATGGCAGCGACGAGCGCAACTGTACTTTCTGCCGGGAAGATGCCTACCTGTAAGACCTACCCACCAAAGCTCCCCATTCGTCATAACTATCCATTTGGTATCCCAGGTTTTACGATTCAAGTACAAGAAAAACATTTAATTTTGTTAATTTATCAGTTGTTTAAGCTTGCAGAAATATCGAAATAATCGATTGTGCTTTAATGGTAATTGATAGTTAAAGTATATATATATTTTTTCAATTTGATAAACCGTTTTCATATAGTGAAAATCAAGTCGAAAAAAGTTAAGCACAATTTGTTCTTACTTGGAATTTAAAATAAAAATTCACATTTGATTTAATTTTAGGAATAGTGTAGGCACAAGTAATTTTACCATACAGGGAAAAATATTTAAAAAATTAAATAGTATCGTCAGGGATATTTACCTCTAATCGATAGTATACACCCAATCCATCCATATCCTATCCGTTTTACTCCTTTCATATCATAATCATTTCTCTACTCTTCCATGTTATGGCTCTACTCCAACACTACTCTACACAACACATAAACCAAATCATCCACCATATACAACATCACTCCCGCGACCATCGCTAACCGATATATATCGTCCATCGATCATCGTCTAACGTCATCAGTTGCATCACTGGAGAGTGTGTAGCCGTAAATCAGAGATGCAACGGTATCGTCGATTGCGTCGACGGCAGCGACGAGCGTCACTGCGGTAAGAAGTCAAAGAAACTGGGCCTCCGGAACCACTGAAACTGATCAAAAACCTAGTCCAATATATCTTACTCCATCCTAGAATTTAGTTATAGTTCCCTGCTTTGCTTTTGGGTCGCTTGATTTGGTCTTAGCATGTAATCGATTGGCTTCGACTTGAAAAAAGTCCAACTTGGTCCTTCGAATATTAGTTCTCATGGTGATATTATCTTTCTGAATTCAAGCAAGGATATATTGTCCACCTAATAAACTAGCCTGCAACGGCACATGCGTCACTCGGAGAATAAAGTGTGATGGCAAACGAGATTGCCTCGATGGCTACGACGAGATGTATTGTCCGGGTAACGAATCCATCCAGTTAATTGTAATTCTTCCGGTCTTCTTTTCTCTGACTGCACTTCTTCAATGCTTTTGAAGCTCAAACCCTTTACCTAAATACATTTCCAAGTTCTTATTACCCCTTCTCTAGATTTGAGCTACTGATATTCTCATTCTTCTCTAACTTTTTGAAGATATTTTTAAAAGTGCATTTGTGCTTAAACTCTCCAAATACATAAGATGTCACTGATTGTGATAAAACTTTATTAAATCTGAAACCAATCTATTGCTATTTCTACAACTTAAATGCTTTCTTCCTAATTCTCTGCCTCTTCATCGTTTCAACGTCATATGCTCTACCAAACCTGTAACCCAGCATTCGTTTATCGTTTGTCTTGTTTTGTCGTTCCATCTTTTCGCTAACCCAAATACACCAACATCACCGCCAAACAACATCCACGCCACATATACAGTACGCAACACCACAGAGAACAACTACCATTATCCCACACAAAAACCGAGTCCTAGACCAAATTCCTGCCGACCCCATCAATGGCAGTGTGCGAATTTCGAGTGCATCGAGAGTAGATTGCAGTGCGACGATTTTAAGGATTGCTCGGATGGATCCGATGAGGACCTCAGCATTTGCTTCGGCACGGGTAATCGAGTCAAGTCTTGCAATCTCCTAAGGATACACATAAAACCAACAAAGATATACCTGAGGTTAATTTGATCTTAATAAGATCTTGATTAATAACCAACATAATCATTATCCCACTACCACGCCAATTATCCATTAGCTTAAAAAAATAAGATCAAGTTGACCCCACTTTAGAGGCATTTTACATTAATTCCTAGTTTCGTAAGACTCTCCGACCGGAAACAGGTTTGTACGTGGCTATAGAATTAGGAGCTATCTAAACTAAGACATAAGCATAATCATCCCGCTTTCTTGTCTCTCTTTCTTGCTGCGCCATTCACACATCCATAAAACCACACACAATGCACCCTGCATGATGTTACCGATGCCATATAAACATATAGCCACTACTCGACTAAAACCCAGCGACTGCAGTACGGATCAGTTCTTCTGCGATGAGTCATGCTATAATCGCTCTGTTCGATGCAATGGTCACATGGATTGCTCTGATGGCAGTGATGAGGTGGGCTGTTCCTTGCAATCACTGCCATGTCCACAGCACCAGTGTCCCAGTGGCAGGTGTTATTCGGAATCTGAGCGATGCGATCGCCACAGGCACTGCGAGGATGGCTCCGATGAGGCCAACTGTAAGTCTCCGTCACCATCGCTCCATCTCCGATAAACATCTCCCCCCCTCCCCATTCCATGATATAGAGATTTGGTATTTGGGATTACGGATCAGTGATCATATATTGGTATTGGGGTTAGATCAATGAAGATCTTCAAGATTTGGTTGGTTGTCGCGACTAATTGTATCTTTAAGGACCAATTGAAGTCTATAAATCTTTGTTTTTAAGCACTTAATCTTTGTATCTGTATCCGTAAGCACAGCGCTTATATTTAAGCAGCACCAATATCAGTAAATATGAACATCGTTTTTATGTTTTGAAAACAAAATCAAACTTCAAATTAATATTCGATTTCAACAACGTACTAAAGATCTATATTTAAATATCGTATTTACATACTGCACATTCAAAAATGTTCTTAAAATTTCAAAAGTGAAGTGTCATGTTTGTATTTGTTTTTTCTTTGTAATATTGAACACTGAATTTGGATATTGAGTATTTTTCTAAATATCGTGTTTCTAATTTTCATGATTTCAATACAATATTTAAACCTATTTAAAAATTACTAGGGTACAGTCCAACATCGTATTGCATCCAATATAAATATCGTATGTGCTTTTTCAGTTGCTAATCTCTTTCTTTTATCCGTCTCTCACTCCAATTCTCTTTCTCTCACGCTTTCTCCACTCTGCTTTTGATCGTGTGAATATATATTTTTGATTTTGCGTGTATTCAATTTCACTTGAACTGGTCTGCACCACCAAAACCAAAACCAAAACCACACCAAACCACCAAATATCGTATACAGGTACTGCCATCCTGTGCAAGGATAACGAGTTTCTCTGCTTCGATCGACAGTTTTGCATAAATGCAACGCAGCACTGTGATGGCTTCTACGACTGTCGTGACTTTTCCGATGAACAGAACTGCATTGGTTAATAAAACAGCAATCGATTTGATTTAATTTTGGTTTCTTGAAATTGTTTGCTCTAGCTGTAGTTCCCTTATTATCATAGAAATTATATTATTAAAGTAAAAATACCAATTTTAAAGTCATGATTATTTTGTTTAAATAATATTTTTAAGAACAATTGTTGTATCAATAGCTAATGCAAAACAAGGTAACATTTGCTGTTTTGTTTTTTGATTCCTTATTGTGGATGTTAGATGTTCAACATTGAAGTGATTATTGGTTATTTGTAATTATTGGATCTATAAGTTTGCTTTAAGTCGGCCTGCATGCTTCAAACATTATATGCACTGTTTTTGATATTTTTTTGTAATCATTTAAAATGAAATTGACTTTACCCTTTCAGCAGTTGTAGCGAAGTTTAGCCCAGTTATTTGGAGAACTGTTTTTGACCTGTATTTTCACCTTATCCCACAGGCTGTTACGGGGATCAATTCCGCTGCAACAATGGTGATTGCGTTTCTGGATCGGCTCATTGCGATGGAAAAGTCGATTGTAGCGACCAGTCCGATGAACTCGACTGTGGAGGAGACGTGCAATGTCTGCCCAACCAATTCCGCTGCAAGAGTGGCCAATGTGTGAGCGCCACAGCCCGCTGCAACAGACGTACCGATTGCCACGATAGTTCCGATGAGGAGAATTGCGGTAAGTAAGGGGCATTAGGTGACCGCCAAACACCAAACTCCACCGCGATCATTAAACCATCATCGCTCGAACACTGCATCATTCGCTCGCTTATACATATATGCCATAAGGTCTTCATCATGTTGAGGTCATCCAAGGAACCACTGGAAGTACCACCAGCACCTCGACTAGCTCCACTGCCACGACGCCACTGAGAATCATCTGCCCGCCCACCTCATTTAAATGCGAAAATGGACCCTGTATTGCGCTGGGTCTTAAATGCAATGGTCAAGCCGATTGTCCATATGATAGTAGCGATGAGGCGGATTGTGGCCAAATCAGCAATGATATTGATCGTAAGTGGGCGACCCACCGAACCACCGAGATGCCACACAACCAATGATAATAAATAACTGTCTGACTTCCCAAATAGAAGCTACTAACTGCGTTTGAGGGCTAAGGCTACCATACATCTGTCTATCTATCGACCTCCTAATACCCTGACTCACCCATAGACACCCCATATTTTACATCAGACTAACTCTAAATTTCTTTCCATCCTCCTCGAAAACAGCCAATGAACCTAACAGTCCTGGACGTGGATCGAGCCAATTGAAACTTAGAACCTATCCCGCCAACCAGATCATCAAGGAGAGTAAGTATCCTAAAGGTCAATTGCGAGAACCTTATTGTTTCCTAAAACTAAAATATGACAAATCTGTTATATGTTCCGTGAGCAATTCTTTAATCGTAAATCTCGTTGCTTTGATATTTCTAAATATTTTTGGACAACCCTAATTGCTGTTCTTTGTTCTCGTTAATGCTTAACCCAACCCAATTCTATAAACCAAAATAAAATATATAAAAACCGCAGGATATATTAGGGAGGGTAAGTTGGCCTAACTACAATCACTTTATGCATACGTAGTAGACAATATTTCGACCAGCACTTGGAACCCAGCACCACCAGCACCACGAAATTGCACGAACAAATTTGGCCAGGAGTGGAGTTGTACATTTAGTCGAAATTTATCAATCACCAAATCCCTAGAGAACCCCCGTATAGCTATAGCATTGGTTATTATAATATTATTTTTATTTGAGTATCATACGAGTGAGGTTTACTGTATGGATAGCTCGTTAGAACAACGTACAAATATTGAAACAAACTAAAATATGATATTAACTAGGATTGTGAACACAAATATTTCCAAAGATTACAAAATTTCTTTTTTACTTAAATTTTTATTTAAAATGCGATCCTTACTATTAAGGAATCTTTTATATTGTTTGCATTTCTTAGGCTTGATTAATGTACGTTGATAAATTCAAACAAGAATGTCATATGCGTAAATCCCATTTAGATGGAATTATGAGTATCGTAGCGTATTGCATTTAGCCACCTGCAATCCCGTCACCTTTCTTTGCTCGTCCGCAGATTGCCATTCCTGTTGGGACCCTTATTAATTAACCTTTGTATCACAGGTCGCGAGGTCATCTTCCGTTGCCGTGACGAAGGTCCCGCCCGCGCCAAGGTCAAGTGGTCCCGACCCGGCGGACGACCTCTGCCCACCGGTTTCACCGATCGCAATGGCCGCTTGGAGATTCCCAACATTCGGGTAGGTTTCTTCTTAAACTAATTATGCCAAGATTATATCGCCTAAAATATAATTATTATATATCAACAGGTGGAGGATGCTGGAACCTACGTTTGCGAGGCTGTGGGATATGCCAACTATATTCCCGGCCAGCACGTCACCGTAAACCTTAATGTCGAGCGCTGTGAGTATGAGTCAGAGTTTAAGTGAGTCCTAAGTTTGGGGTTTCTAAGGGTTAAAGATATTTTAAATTCTGTGCAAGCAGCCTGGGGCGAACACAAGTATGAGGAGCTGCGGTCCAATCGTATACGATATGGAACTGTTCCACACATCGATCTCGAGTTCTTCGGACTAGGTAGGGCTATATAAGTCAACTGAAGTTTCGTGTTCCCAAGGGCGTTACCACCACTTGCAAATCTAACAGTCAGTGTTAGGATTTATTATAACCTAAAAGTGTTGGTAACTTCGTGAACTGAATAGAATTTAGCAAACGTTTTTAATAACTTTTCAATCCCCATTTTGCCGCTTGGCTCTATTATTGGTAAGCTGGTTAGCCCTTCAATCTTTCTAGACCCCCCACTAATAGATCATTATTTTTTCTGCTTTCTTAAATATCCTCTCCACAGCGAACGATCTCGAATCCCGACCGGACGCAGCCTGTACAGAGTACCAGGCGACCTGCATGAACGGAGAGTGTATTGATAAGTCGGGCATCTGCGATGGCCATCCGGATTGCTCGGATGGCTCCGATGAGCACAGCTGCAGTTTGGGTCTTAGGTGTCAGCCCAATCAGTTTATGTGCTCCAATTCCAAGTGTGTGGATCGTACTTGGCGCTGCGATGGTGAGAATGACTGCGGGGACAATTCAGATGAGACCTCCTGCGATCCGGAGCCAAGTGATGCTCCATGCCGATATGACGAGTTCCAGTGCCGCAGTGGTCATTGCATCCCCAAGAGCTTCCAGTGCGACAACACGAACGATTGTAAAGACAGTACTGATGAAATTGGATGCTGTAAGTATCTACAGTGTAAACCTAAGAGCTAACTTATACTTAGAGCGCTAGCACGTAGAGCTTTCGGCTCGCCTGGGAGTAATTGGTTATACGATCGATTCATTCTTGTTTTATCCCCAAACTTTAAATCTTTGGTGAACTATGTATCAACCTACGAGTCATCTGCTAACTGCTATAACTGGTATTATCTTATTCACAGCGGAACCCTCTCCAATGAAGCTGTCACCGCCTGCGGTTGTGGTGATGGAGTACGAGGTGCTCGAGTTAACCTGCGTGGGAACCGGAGTACCAACGCCGACGATCGTATGGCGTCTGAACTGGGGCCATGTGCCCGACAAGTGCGAATCGAAGAGCTACGGTGGAACTGGAACACTCCGGTGTCCGAACATGAGGCCACAAGACAGTGGAGCCTACTCATGCGAGTTTATCAATACACGCGGCACCTTCTATCCGAAAACGAACTCCATTGTCACCGTGACCCCGGTGCGAACGGATGTCTGTGAAGCTGGATTCTTTAATATGCTGGCCCGCAAGTCGGAAGAGTGCGTCAAGTGCTTCTGCTTTGGAGTGTCCACCGCCTGCGACAGTGCCAATTTGTTCACCTACGCCATCCAGCCACCCATTCTTTCAAAACGCGTCGTCAATGTGGAGCTCAGTCCACTCCGCCAGATTGTGATCAACGAGGCAAGTCCAGGTCAGGATCTGCTGACCCTGCACCACGGCGTTCAGTTCAGGGCATCGAATGTTCACTCTTCGGGCCGGGAGACGCCCTACTTGGCCCTGCCCTCAGATTATATGGGCAACCAGTTGAAGTCCTACGGTGGTAATCTGGTCTACGAGGTTAGCTACATGGGCAATGGAAGACCAGTCAGTGGTCCCGATGTGATAATCACCGGCAATCGATTCACACTAACTCATCGCGTTCGCACTCAGCCTGGTCAAAAGAACAAGGTCAAAATCGCCTTCCTGCCGGGTGGATGGCAGAAGCCCGATGGTCGCAAGGCCACGCGAGAGGAAATTATGATGATACTGGCAAATGTGGACAATATTCTGATTCGACTGGTCTACCTGGATACCACCGCTCGCGAAGTGGATGTGGTAAATATCGCTTTGGATTCGGCAGGAAGTGCCGATACGGGATTGGGTAGTGCCTCGCTCGTAGAGAAGTGCACGTGTCCGCCTGGCTATATGGGTGATTCCTGCGAGTCCTGTGCCTCCGGCTATGTAAGGCAGGCTAGAGGACCTTGGCTGGGACACTGTGTGCCGTTTATCCCGGAACCCTGTCCGTCCGGAACGTACGGAAATCCCCGACTTGGTGTGCCCTGTAAGGAGTGTCCTTGTCCCCTAACCGGCAGCAATAACTTTGCCAATGACTGCAAGCAGAGTCCCGATGGCGATGTAGTTTGCCGATGCAATGAGGGTTACTCCGGTAGAAGGTGTGAGCACTGCGCCAGTGGTTACCAGGGTAACCCCCTGGTTCCGGGAGGAGTTTGCCGCAAGATACCCGACACCTCGTGCAACGTGGACGGCACCTACAACATCCATAGCGATGGCACCTGCCAGTGCAAGGATAGCGTGATTGGCGAACAGTGCGACACCTGCGCACCGAAGAGTTTCCATCTCAATTCGTTCACTTACACCGGCTGCATCGAGTGCTTCTGCAGCGGAGTGGGTTTGGATTGCGATAGTAGCACGTGGTACCGCAACCAGGTTACGAGCACATTTGGACGATCGCGTGTCAACCATGGATTTGCTTTGGTCACCGACTATATGCGTAATACCCCAGAGACCGTACCGGTGTCCATGTCCCCACAGACCAATGCGTTGAGCTTTGTGGGATCCGCCGAGCAGGCTGGCAACACGCTCTACTGGAGTCTGCCAGCCGCCTTCCTGGGCAACAAGCTAACCTCTTACGGAGGCAAGTTGAGCTACACCTTGAGCTACAGTCCCCTGCCCAGCGGCATAATGTCTAGAAACAGTGCCCCAGATGTGGTGATCAAGAGCGGCGAGGATCTGCGGCTCATCCATTACAGGAAGTCGCAGGTTAGTCCCAGTGTGGCCAACACCTATTCGGTGGAGATCAAGGAGAGCGCATGGCAGCGTGGCGATGAAGTGATTGCCAACCGTGAGCACGTCCTGATGGCCCTGAGCAATATTACGGCCATCTACATCAAGGCCACGTACACCACTAGCACAAAGGAGGCCTCGCTGCGTCAGGTGACTTTGGATACGGCCACGGCCACGAATCTTGACACTGCCCGTGCAGTGGAAGTGGAGCAGTGCCGCTGTCCCGAGGGCTACTTGGGTCTTTCCTGCGAGCAGTGTGCCCCTGGCTTCACCCGCGATCCGGAGGGTGGAATCTATCTAGGACTCTGCAGGCCCTGCGAGTGCAATGGACACTCGAAGTATTGCAACAGCGAAACCGGCGAATGCGAAGTAAGTATCCGGCACGAGGGACCAATATTTTAACGTTTACTAACCATCTTTTCTTTTTGATTTCCAGAGCTGTTCTGACAACACCGAAGGCCCCAACTGTGAGCGATGCGCCGCCGGCTTTGTGGGTGATGCCACCCGTGGGACTTCGTACGACTGCCAATATGAAGACGGATACCCTACGCGTCCTTTGGCACCGGGCAATCAAACGGCCGACTGCGCTGCCATTTGCCAGCCGGAGGGAACCTACGCATGTCGCGGCAGCGAATGCCAGTGCAAGAGAAATGTGTATGGCGATCGATGTGATCAATGCCGCCCCGGAACCTATGGACTGTCCGCCCAAAATCCGGAAGGCTGCAAGGAGTGCTACTGCTCCGGACTGACCACCCAGTGCCGCTCGGCGTCTCTGTACCGCCAGCTGATACCCGTGGACTTTATTCTTACGCCACCGTTGATTACAAACGATTACGGTGAAATCATGGATACGCTGAACCTTATTCCCGACATATCCAACAATATATTTACCTACGCGCACGAATCATATACTCCCAAGTACTGGAGTCTTAGAGGTAGTGTGCTAGGAAACCAGCTCCTCTCGTACGGCGGACGCCTGGAGTACCGTCTAATAGTTGAGTCTATTGGCCACGACCATCGTGGTCAGGATGTGGTGCTGATTGGCAACGGACTTAAGCTGATCTGGTCGAGACCCGACGGTCATCAAAATCAAGAGGACTACCATGTGCGACTGCATGAAGATGAGCAATGGACGACCCAAGAGCGCGGATCAGCTCGACCGGCTACACGGTCCGATTTCATGACTGTCCTGTCGAATCTAGAGCACATACTGATCTTGGCCACACCCAAGATACCCACGGAAAGAACCTCGATAAGCAATGTAATCCTGGAGAGTGCGGTAACCACAAGGACGCCGGGAGCTACGCATGCCTCCGATATCGAGTTGTGCCAGTGTCCACCCGGATATACGGGCAATTCCTGCGAGTCCTGCGCTCCGCTCTACTATCGCGATAACAATGGAGCCTGCAGCCCGTGTCCTTGCGAGGCTTCCAACACGGAGTCCTGTGGTTTGGTCAGTGGCGGCTTCGTCGAGTGCCGATGCAGACCACGCTGGAGGGGTGATCGCTGTAGGGAAATCGGTGAGTGAAGAAGATAAACGATCGGAAACCGCCAAACCACATTCGTCCTTTCACCACTCTCCCTATTCTTTATTGCTGGCCTTCTAGCCCAACTTCTGCATATCGAACTACATGAAATACTCACAAGATAATGTGCTCGTATTTTAAGCCATCTCCCATGTCCAAATTCGAGTTCCAGGTTAAACCGTATTTGTGTAGATATACTAGCAGAAGGAAGCCTCTCCTATCCTTTAGTCTAAATGAGCATTATGTACCCACTTAGATTTCGTTATACTATATAAAAACTTGGTTAAAAGTAGTCCTGTCCGTTTAAGGTCCCAGTTCTATGGTCATTCAAGAACTAGAGCAGAACCTTTTGGTATAATTTGCAGGTTATATATGTTAGTGTATCTATTCGAGTATTTTTTAAAACATCAATACTATCGACCTTTGGCTAACATCGAAATCTGAGGAGTGGGTACAACGCGATCGGAGAAACCGATTATTAAGATCTTACCTGTTTGATTTACTTTCTCCTTTCTCTTGGACTTTGTTTTTGTCATTCCTCCTTCGTCATCAACTTTAAACCCGATCGAAATCCGAAAAAAAAACCAACATTAAAAATTGCAATCACCAAAACCAACAAACATCCCATCCATCCACATTCTAGACACATCGCCCATTATCGAAGAACCGCCCCAGATATGTGATTTAAGCAGGGGATTCTGTTGCAGCGGCTTTCAGTTCGATATCGCACCGAACGAGACAATTTCGTTCAATGACACACTGCAGATATATAAGGGCAACAGAATCATAGGAAATATGACCAAGCTGCGCTACGGCTGTCCATCGCGAGGTTCGCTCCAAACTCTCCGATCCACCGAACTGAACCACTGAAAACCACTCAGCCGCCTACAAAACACCACAACTGTTGCTTTCCTAATACTTGATCCTCTATATCTGACACCAGCACACCCAAAACTCCATTCTACACCCTATACATAGTATTTTCCCAGCTTAGATATGTGTAAAGATCTGTAGATCTGTGTGTGTAGAGCGAACCTAACTCGTATATCTGTGACCTAAACCCCAAAAGTAGACCATGTGGGAAGATTCCCAGACTCTTGTAATTGGGTTAGCTCCTGTATTATCTCCAACTCTATTTCTCCGACTCTGTGTCTGATCTTTCGGTTATCTAAAAACCACTTAGCTAGTCTATGTGTCTTAGTACTTGTCTTACCCCAAAGTAGTTTTTGTTCTCTGTGTACAGTTGCCGAGCTAGTGCCTCTGATCCTCCGAACCCCCTTTGACAAGCAAATCAATAACTCTCTTGTCCCTCTGTCTCTGTGTGTACTATATATTATGTGTGTCCTAGCTGCCAGTCTATAACGTCAGTGACTGAAAGCCAACCAATATTGGCCCAGAAACGCGTTCAAGTAGTCCATGAATTTACCATACATACTCATAGCCACTAACCCAAGGTTAGAAACTGACTTTTGAATTCCATAGTGCGCTTCACAACTTTGGGACACAGATTGGGCAAATCCAATTTAGTTTTGACTAACAAGTAACTGTGTCGTTTATGATCACTACCACTTAATGATTTCTTTTAAAAATGAATCCAATCTTACCGATTAAATTTTTCCAAAGAATGGATTTTATATAATGCGACATTTTTTTTCGGTTTTTTCATCGTAGTTTAGCCAAATCAAAACGTACAGCTAAAAGACCGATTGTTTTGAGCAGCTTGCTAAATATGCTAACGATCCTCATCACTTTTAGGGAAATTTATTTTTTGACCAATTTTCGCCTTTTTTGTAGGGGTAACATCACTTATTTTGCGAAAAATGGCAAAAATCAAAATTTTCTAGGTTTGAATGCCAACTTATTGGAAATTAAACGACGAGCTCGACGAGGAATGACATTCCTCATTCTGACTTTTATTTTTATTATGGCAGCCAAAAAACGGAATTTTTATGGCGAAAAAAGGGTTCAAATTTTTGTCAAAAATACGAGATTCAGATTTTTGTCAAAAATACGACATTTTTTTTCGGTTTTTTCATCGTAGTTCAGCCAAATCAAGACGTACAGCTAAAAGACCGACTGTTTTGAGCAGCTTGCTAAATTTGCTAACGATCCTCATCACTTTTAGGGAAATTTATTTTTTGACTAATTTTCGAATTTTTTGTAGGGGTTACATCACTTTTTTTGCGAAAAATGGCAAAAATAAAAATTTTCTAGGTTTGAATGCCAATTTATTGGAAATTAAACGACGAGCTCGACGAGGTATGACATTCCTCATTCTGACTTTTATTTTTATTATGGCAGCCAAAAAACGGAATTTTTATGGCGAAAAAAGGGTTCAAATTTTTGTCAAAAATACGAGATTCAGATTTTTGTCAAAAATACGACATTTTTTTTCGGTTTTTTCATCGTAGTTCAGCCAAATCAAGACGTACAGCTAAAAGACCGACTGTTTTGAGCAGCTTGCTAAATTTGCTAAAGATCCTCATCACTTTTAGGGAAATTTATTTTTTGACCAATTTTCGCATTTTTTGTAGGGGTTACATCACTTTTTTTTGCGAAAAATGGCAAAAATGTAATATTTTCAGTTTGACTATTTGATTCTACGATGTATAAAGACTGATATTTTAAAAGTAGTAGTTAGAATACTTAATACAAAAGTTAGCACTAACATCTTTAAATAAACTTTTAAAGTTCTGAAACGCACTATCTTAATGTTTGTTAACCAATCTGTCGCCTAACCCTCGGAACTGTAGGTCAACTGGAGTAGTCCCGTATTCGGGATGGAGACTCCAAAACAAAACACTAAACCCTTATAACGATCTATTGACTTCGTGGACCAAATAGGAGTCATTAAATCGCAACCACCTGTCACTAACACACTCTTAAGGCCTCTCTATAAGATCCCAGTTCTCATGTGAGTTTTTTTTTAATTAACCAGAACTTAAACATTTTACATGTAGTGTTGGAATTTATATACAATTCTATATATCTATAACTCATATTAAAAACTCAGATGAGAACTCGCTTCGATTAGAGAGGGCTTTGCTCACAACGCAAGGAACTCAATTTGTGGGAACTGCCAAGGGTGTTAAAGCATTTGTCTAATCTATATTTCCCGCCACCCTAGAAACTAACGAACCAACTCCGGGACCGGATCCCAGTACCGACGATCACGTGCGAAGCCAGATCATCGTGTCGATTGCAAAGCCGGAGATTTCCATTGTGCCCGTTGGTGGATCGCTGAGCCTCAGCTGTAGCGGTCGAACGCTCTGGAGCAATGTGAGTTCCCAGGGATCTATGTTTTTCTCCAATAAGAGAATAATTTCTGACAGTACTGTTTCATAAATCTCTTAAGATATCTGTATATATAGAACATACGATAATAATTTATCGAATTTTTGATGTGATTATAAACACCTTTAATTTATTGTCCCCCAGAGCCCAGTCTTTGTGAACTGGTACAAGGAGAACAGTCGCATGCCTGTGAACTACGATCTGGAAGGCGGTGAACTGCGTCTGTACAACCTGCAGATCAGCGATTCTGGAATCTACATCTGCCAGGCCAAGAACAACGAAACCGGTCACATCTTCACGGATAACGTCGTCATCACCGTTACCCGTGAGTACTGGGTGTCCATACCTAAATATACTTATAGCTAATCATATTCATTATCTTATAAAAATTGCGGCATTTATCAAAGGATATGCCGAGGAAATGTTGGCACGATACGGTACTTCAAATTCCCAAAAAAATTATAATTAAAATTGTTTTCAAGCTTTAAAAGGGGGTATTTCGAAATTGAAAAGGGGTTCAAGTTTTTTACCTGCAATAAGAACCCCATAAATATATGAAACCTATGCTGACGTACTGCATCTTTCTCTTTTACCCACAATTCACCCTTTAGCGAAGGACCAACGCTCAGCGGCGGAGATTGTGGATTTGCCCAGCCAGGTGACCTTCGAAGAATACACCAGAGATGAAATCATCTGCGAAGTGCGGGGCAACCCGCCACCAACTGTCACCTGGACTCGGGTGGATGGCATTGAGGCCCAAAGTACACGAACATACGGCAATCGCCTGGTCTTCGATTCGCCCAGGAAATCGGATGAGGGTCGCTATCGCTGCCAGGCGACCAATGACCAGAATCGGGATGAGAAGTACGTGATCGTTTATGTGGAGAGTAATCCTCCCCAGCCGCCGCCGCCGCAGGATCGTTTGTACATCACACCGGAGATGTATAATGGCCTGGCCGGTGAAACCTTCCAATTGCAATGCCAATTCACAAGCGCAGCCTCACTGCGCTACGATTGGTCCCACGATGGTCGCTCCCTATCCGCGTCGCCCTCGCGAAATGTCCAGGTCCGTGGCAATGTCCTAGAGGTCCGCGATTCCACTGTCCGCGACTCTGGCATCTACACCTGTGTGGCCTTTGACCTTCGCACCCGTCGCAACTTCACCGAGAGCGCACATGTTTACATCGAGCCGGCAGGCGAGCCACCAATCCTTGGGTGAGTCCAAAAAGAGAAAACATTATTAATCCGTATAGATTACAGATGTGCGAAAGGAGAATATAAGAATCAAGGCTTAACGATCTCAAAGTTTAATATGTGATGCCTCTCTTCATATTCCACAGCGACAAGCCGCAAATCCTGAGCTTAGAGCAGAATATCGTGGTGGTGCAGGGCGAGGATTATAGCATCACCTGCGAGGCCAGTGGATCTCCCTATCCCTCTATCAAATGGGCTAAGGTTCACGACAATCTGGCCGACAATGTCCACATCAGTGGCAATGTGCTGACTATCTATGGAGCCCGGCTTGAGAATCGTGGTGTCTACTCCTGCATCGCCGAAAACACTCACGGAAGCGATCAGTCCAGCACAAGCATCGACATTGAACGTAAGTTATCAGGGATCCGGTAATTGAAAATACCATTGTGATCAGTTACTACCCTAAGCTAATATCAGCTGCGGTTAAAGATACGTGCATCTTAATCTAAGTTCCATAGCTACAAGTTCTCGAGTTCGTTAAATCTCGAGCTTGATCTTATTAAATACAATCTTTAACCGCAACTTATCTAAAATCTTCCCCCACCCCAAGCTAACAATGCCTTTGCTCTATTTCGTACTGTTGTCTCTCTTCCCTCACAAACACTGATTATCTCGCCCTCCTCCCCCAAACCCGAATATTATTTTTTGAAAACACTCGAACCCCTTAATCTAAATTAAAACCTTAACTTTGCCATGCAAGTGCACAAGAGTGGAGTTGGTAATAAGACAGGTCCGCACAGTCTGATCCTAATACTAATTGGTGCCACCACTGTGGTTTACTTGTTTGCAGCCCGGGAGCGGCCGAGCATAAAGATTGATTCGCCCCAGCAACCGGTTTTGGTTGGCTCCCAGGCGTCTCTCTACTGTGCCGTTGATGGTATTCCCGAACCGACCGTCGAGTGGGTTCGTGCTGATGGCCAACCCCTATCGCCGCGGCACAAGATCGAGGGACCCGGCTACGTTGTGTAAGTACTAGACACCGCCATGCCCTATTTATTCTGACCAAAATAAAAAAATTTATATATGTATATATATATATTTATTCCCCCCGCAGGATCGACGACATTCAGATCGCCGATAGCGGCGCCTACGAGTGTCGGGCAAGTAACGTTGCTGGCCAGGAGACCAGCACGGCCACCATTACCGTCCATGAGGCTACTATCGTCCAGATACAGCCCGATACCCAGAGCATCCGGCTCACCGTGGGCGACGAGCTCTCCCTGACCTGCGTTGGCAGTGGTGTCCCCACTCCATCGGTCTTTTGGAGTTATCCGGAGCAGGGTCGTGCATCAGTTCAACGTAACGAATTTGGTCAACGTCCCGCTGGCAACTCTGCCGACATCAAAATATATCGGATGACGAAGGAAGATGAAGGCATCTACACTTGCCACGGAAGTAACTTGGCAGGTGACGATCAACGCTACATTCGCGTGGAGGTCCAAGAAAGACGAGGTGACATTGGAGGAGGTGAGTCCATAGTCCATTCGAAATTAAATACACGGAGGGTGTATCGAGAAATTCCCAATCAACCAAATTTACCCGACTGGTTTAATATCACTTACGACTAACTGACTGGATATATTTAAAAAGAAAGTTCTGACAACCTATGGTATAGTCTGCCAAAAATTTTTTTAATAGAAATTTAAGTCAGTGTCATACCGCCTTTACATACATAGACACTTTTATAAGGGATATTAGGGAATTTTTAAACCTCAAAGCATAGAATTCTTGATAAGAAAGTCCGTAAGTCCAAGACTTTATTATAAGGCTGTTTTCTAATTGACCTCCTCTGTAGACGAAGATCCCGATGTAGATGGTGATCGCCGATCGCCCGGACACCCCAACCGCCCCATAGTCCAAGAGCCTGCAAACGATCGCCTTGGCGCCGGCGTGGGCGATAATGTAACCCTGACGTGTGATATCGAGAACGTGGAAACACAGTGGGAACGCGTCGATGGCGCACCCCTGCCGTCCAATGCCTACACTATGAGAAATTCGCTGGTGATTGTGTACGTGGAGCCGCACAATCTGGGTCAGTACCGCTGCAATGGAATCGATCGCGATGGCAATGTGGTGGCCCAAGTGGTGAGGGAGCTGACTCTCCTGCCCCTGCCCAGGATCACATTCTATCCGAAAATTCCGCTGACCCTGGAACCGGGCCAGAATTTGGATGTCTACTGTCAGGTGGAGAACGCACATCCGGACAATGTGCGGTGGACCACCGACAACAATCGACCACTATCCAGGTTGGAATATCTATATTCAGATATTATAAAGAAGAAAGTTTTGACCCCTTTTACTTCATCTTTTCGATCTCCAGTTCCGTTCGCATCGAAGGCAACGTCCTCCGCTTCACTGCCATCACTCAGGCGGCTGCCGGTGATTATCGCTGCACCGCCAACAACGAATACGGCACTCGATCGGAGAGCGCCAGGGTTACGGTGAAGAAGCCCGGTGTCTTCCAGACGGTTCCTCCGGTGCCAGGCTCCCAGGTGCAACAGCGCCGTGTGGGCGAGACCATTCAGTTGCGATGCAGCTTGACAAACCAGTACGGCGGAGACCACCGCGGCAACATCCAGGTGAGTGGAGAGCTTACGATACATCTTGTCTAGAGATAAATTTGTCAAATGACTACTATTATGAAGAACACCTTCACTGCACCCTTTAAGAGAAATTTTAGTTATTATTTTCTATATGTCGGTGGGCATCGAATATATCTCTGCCGTCACACAAACGGTGTACAACAGCGGTCGGCACGCACAAATGAAAAGCAAAATGGGATTGTAATGCTTTCCCACTGCTGAATTTTACATAAAGATTGTACAGATTCCTTACCTTCAGTGATTGGTAACCAATGGGATTTTTGTTGCAGTTCAACTGGTACCGTGAGGACAACCGCGAATTGCCCCACAACGTCCGTCCCGATACCCAGGTTCTGGAGCTGACCAAGTTGCAGCCCGAGGATGAGGGCCGCTACATCTGCAACTCGTACGATGTGGACAGAAGGCAGCCACTGCCACCCGTCTCCATCGACTTGCAAGTCCTAAGTGAGTAATCGCCACGCGTTAGGTTCTCTGAGGTCCCGGGACCTCGGTCTCCGACTCCGGCTCAGAGGTGGAGTCGGATCCGGATGTCCTGTCCCATCTCTCCCCCGATAAAAAAAATAAACACATAAAGTAGCCCCTATCAAAACGAAAAGGACCCTCTTCAAAATGGGTTTACTCACAAAAAAATAAAACATTTGAACAAAATCTTTGCTAGGCCAGCCCGAAAATCAAACGAAATAAGTAAGATATCTTGAAAAAAGATAAATAATACTTAAATCTATAAGAAAAGGAATCATTTTCCAGGATTAGGTTTTGTTAAGCAGGTTTGATCGTTCGCTGATTTTACTAATTCCCCACTCAATTTAAATATATATATATATATATATATGAATACGCCTATATATAAACACATCAATGTACTCGTATCTGTTAACCTAAACTTAAAAAACCGACAAAAGAAAAACAAACGACGAAATCGAAAACAGTAAAAACACCCTGTAAATACGCAAACGGAAATTGTCAGTCCCCCAACACCCAAAAAACAAGCAATATTTCCATGTATATATGTCTAGCACTGTAGGCAGGGGTTCCAGGGTCCTACGAACACACTCTGTATATAACAAATGATCAAGTGAAGATATCGAAATCATTGCAAAAACTTTGGTGGTGGAGTCACAAACGAAAAAGACAACTGCCAATCATGTAATAATATAAAGTACACACAGTTTCATTGCATGCAAAACAAAGACCGAAATCAAAATTAATTTTTTTACCAATTGAAATTTTAGCAATCTAAGATCTGGAAAAACGATTTGAACACCACACGCACACTTTTATATATATGTACGAACATTCTACCAACTTGATAAATCTTAAGCTTACCAAAATGGCTGCCAAAACATTTCTAATACGATACATTTAAGTAAACCCCACTAAAAGTGAGAAATAAAACATAATATTAACATTAAAAACTTGCACAGCGAAATGTGTGAAGCAAATTGTAACATATTCTTTTTATTTATTTTCCAAGCCCTTGCAGAGGCCAAGTGTTAAGAATTTTTTTTTTTACATTTTCTATCCGAGCGGAATTTGGAATCTGAAATCCGAATTCTCTATCTTTCCGTCTACCTGTTACATACTTTCCGACTAATCTAGTATACCCTTTTACTCTACGAGTAATGGGTATAAAAACGACTTGAAAATAATAATCTTAAGAAAATGATTTTAAACTTTACATCATAAATTTGGTAAAATAAAAATAAATTGGCATCAAAACATCTAAATCTGCAAGGGTATACAGAGCTTCGGTTGACCGATTCTGGTCATCTTTTGTTGCGTTTTTAACATAGAAACCCTATTCTGGTGACGGCTCCTCTTTCCTCATTGATACTGACCCTCGGTGTTTGTCAATTCTAGTCCCACTTAAAGTTTTGTTATTTTTAGTTAACATTCATTAAACGGTTATTGGTTGTCAACTGTTTGTTTGTGTTTTTGTGTATTAACAAGTGTAAGGGCAAAAAAAAAACAAAAAGGCACTGCACCAAATCTGCCATTTCCACCTCTTTGTTCCTGAGTTCCTGCAACATCACTGAACTTGCACCCCGAGCACAATGAAAATAAATACAAAGGAAACCAGCACAAATGAAATTGTAAATAATAAACTTAACTTTTTTGAATCAGATAAAATCAGTCAAACCGTCAGATGCAGAAGAATCAGCTTAAAGAATTTGTTGAAGCCGTAGGTTTTATAGTTCCACCTACTTTTTTAATGCAAATGGAACACATTAATTAATTTCATATTTATTTCTTTCTCTCTCACGCTTTTCTCTCTCTCTCCCACTTTCTTACATGTGCGCTTGTTGAAATATTTTAAATTACCCTTTGATTTGGCTTGACCTAAACTGTTTATTTGGTATATGCTATATGATATGATATGGTACACTGTGTGCGCTTTTGCTGATCCTATGTCGAAAAAACACACACAAAACACAAACAAATTTAATGGTATGGCATGCAACTGCAACTGCAATCAATCAATGAATCAATCAATCGAACGACGCAACTACGACTGCCCAGGAATTACTACCCAGTATCCTATCACTCGGTTCAAGGGCGGTGTCTCCCTAAAAGAAACGCCCTGCATGGTTCTGTATATTTGTGCAGGTGTGTTACAGCCACCGCCGCCTAACCATTTCTAATAGCAGCGATCCTCCATTATATGATATCTATATTATTTGTATTTTCTTTACATTCTTTTAATTTGTTTGACCTTTTTTTTTCGTTTATTTTGCATTTGTTTTGTATTATTAATCTAATGATCTTTAAATCTGTATTATGAACTGCCTAACCCTAGAGCTAAATAAGTTTTATAAAAAAAATGAAACAAAAATAATACCAAAAAATTGTAAAAAGTTGCTTTACTGAAAACCCCTCCCAACCCGCCACGCCCACTAATGCACAAAGCCCCACATTAGACCCTCAATTTTCTATTTGATAAGTAGAGCACCATGTTAACCTTTCTAGCATGCGTGGATCCCCAATAATCAATATCATAACTCGTCTAAAGGGCAGGATACCTTAGTTTAAGTGGTTTTTATAGGGTTTAGGGACTACTATACTAACCAAGGGCTTTAGTGCTGCGGAGGCTGTATATTTTTGCTAATTTTTTACTTTGCGCCTTTCCACAAAAAAAATTCAAATATTGCGAAAATAATACTGAATATACCGAAAACGAAAACGAAACGAACACACAAAATTGCAAATAAAAACGCCGCAGACTTCAAGAGCAGCAAATTCTCGCCCTCGAAGCCCCTGAACTCTGGACCAGCCACGATTCGCACTCCAACTATTTCGTACACCTGCCAACCCAACGACTTCAAGTGCGTTTCGCATCCGCACACTTGCATCAGGTCCAACATGGTGTGCGATGGGATTTACGACTGTACGGATCACTCTGATGAATTCAACTGTATCGCCGGCAAGGGGAGCGGAAAATCGGGATCCAACTCGGGATCGGGAAACTTTAAGCGCTGGAAGAAGGACCAACAGCTGCGAAGGAGGAGTCTGGTGAAGGCCTTCAAGGATCGGAAGCTGAGGAAGCGCAGCTCCGGTTGGTCCCAAAGTTTTCTCTCTTCACCCTCACCACAGAAGCTTTCCCTCACTCTCTGCCCTGGTATCGCTATATATAATACTCAACTGTACTTATTTGTATCCAATAGTGTCCTTCCTCCTCCTACTTTCCTATTTCCCAGTTTTATCCTCTGTCCGTTCCAATCTCTACATACAAATTTTATCCACTATCCCTACGCCTCTTTCTATCCAAATCTACCGTATTGCTTGTGGGTGCACAAAATCGTAGAGTCGATGCGATTGCAAATGGCACTGAAATGAAGGCAACCTAATTTCGAAAGCCGACCGGCGATAACCGACCAACTGCACCACATAAAATCAGTCGAGGAGTAAAAGAAGGAGAAACGTCGCACAAGCACCTTACGGGCTTAGAATAACAAATAACGATAAACGATAGCCAAACGATCGATATTTTTACAGCATTCAGCGGGTTGGCAATTTAACAGGTTTTAACCTTGGATGTATGAATTGCATGCGGCAGGCTACCATGTTACTAACTTTATAACCGTACAAAGTCTTACGAAATTTATGTAAATAATACAAAACACTCAGCAACACACATACACACACGCGCACATCACACGATAAACGTTAGTTAAGTAATCGAAATTTTGTACAATGTATCTTTAACTGTATCTATATACCCCTGTATGTATATTTGTGACTCAAAAAACCGAAATAAGACATCTGTGATTTTAGTGGTAACCCAAGTCCAAATTAGATCTGTAGAATTCGACATTTGAGATGAGAAACCAAAAATGAAAACCAGAACAAAACCAATCTAAACGATCCCATTCGTAACCCCACATGTATTCGTATATTTGTGTGATTCGATTCGTAGCAGTATTGAGTAAAAGTAGCTCCATAAAAAGTAGTCCACCTCACCAATCCACAAAGTCCCCTCTCTGTCGCCTCTCTATATGTAAATCGTATCGTATCTATGTATTGTCTAACTAGGAAACCAAATTCCAAATCGAAACAACTAAAAATCCCAGTGCGATACGAATCGAACGATAAGCCTATCGACCAATAATCGGTATACAAAAAATAATGTAATGCGTTTTATATTATAAAATTGATGTGTCGATATAGAGTTAATGTCACCGATTAACAATTACAACTTATCGATCGATAACTATCGCCTTATTTCTGTTTGAAACGCCTCTTTTGACCTGTAATTTTGCTAACTGTTTTCTCTCTCTCTTTGTGTATTTTTTACTATCTTATTCCCATTTCCATGACTCACACAAAAATACAAACACACCACCCACACATACATACATATAATTACACACATAAACACACACGCACCCATGCACTTGTGAATTGTCGCTGAATTGTGATCGTTCCGCCGACCATCCTTGTCGTCCTTGTCGACCTGTCGCCCCCTTTCAATGTGTGTGTGTGTATCGGATGTCCTGTTGGCGGTTGGGCGGTATCAGTGGCGACCCCGCCCCCCAGCTACCTGCCGCCAGTGGCAACAGCGCCCCCACGTTCAACTGGATGGATCCGCGAACCCCAATTGACCCTGAGCGAACAATCCTCGAACCTGCCAGCAGGTGAGGGCACCACCATCGAGTGCTATTCCTCCGACGATTCCTATCCTAACGTCATGTGGGAACGGGCCGATGGAGCTCCGTTCAGCGATAATGTCCGGGTGAGTACGGTTGGAAATATACCATTATAATAATTTACCCATCTTCCACTGTACGTTAGGACCATTCATTTCCTTACAATCTTATAGCGGTTCCTTTAATTCCACTATGTCCAGTAATTATTCACATTGTTCTCCAACCTTTATCCCTGTTTTGCAAACTACAACCTACTTTTGCCTTTTTCCATTCCATACGTATTGTTGAATCAAGGTTCTACAATATGTAAAAGGCCATATATGATCTCAGATTATCCAATAGTACAGTACTTTCTATTCTTAAATCTATAATATTTTGTATATTCTACTGAATCCCTGCAGCAAGTGGGCAACAATCTGGTGATTAGCAATGTGGCTTCAACTGATGCCGGCAACTATGTGTGCAAGTGCAAGACGGAGATCGAGGGAGATCTGTACACCACCAGCTACCAACTTGAGGTCGAGGACCAGCCCCATGAACTGAAGAGCTCCAAGATAGTCTACGCCAAGGTGGGCGGAAATGCTGACTTGCAGTGCGGAGCCGATGAGGATCGACAGGCCAGCTACCGATGGTCCCGCCAATATGGACAACTCCAAGCGGGACGCAGTCTACACAATGTAAGTCCGAGAAAGGTAGCTCTATGACTTATAATGACGAAACATATTTGGAAGAAAATCATTGTGGTACCTCGTTGTATTAGAGAAAATGTGCTCTTTCAAAAACTGATTCATCCTAATTCCTATTTTTGGAATTTCAGGAGAAGCTCTCGCTGGACCGCGTGCAGGCGAACGACGCCGGAACTTATGTTTGTACGGCCCAGTACAGCGATGGCGAGACGGCGGACTTCCCCAACATTTTGGTTGTGACGGGGGCGATTCCGCAGTTCCGACAGGAGCCGCGCAGCTACATGAGCTTTCCCACGCTCTCGAACTCCTCGTTCAAGTTCAACTTCGAGCTGACCTTCCGTCCGGAGAACGGCGACGGACTGCTGCTCTTCAACGGACAAACCCGCGGCAGTGGTGACTATATCGCATTATCGCTGAAGGATCGCTATGCGGAGTTCCGGTTCGATTTCGGTGGTAAACCGTTGCTGGTGCGAGCGGAGGAGCCACTGGCGCTGAATGAGTGGCACACGGTCCGCGTGAGTCGCTTCAAGAGGGACGGATACATCCAAGTGGATGAACAGCATCCGGTGGCGTTCCCCACCTCCCAGCACCAGCAGATACCCCAACTGGAACTGATCGAGGACCTGTACATTGGCGGAGTGCCCAACTGGGAGTTCCTGCCCGCCGAGGCCGTTGGCCAGCAGTCGGGCTTCGTGGGCTGCATCAGCCGCTTGACCCTGCAAGGACGCACTGTGGAGCTTATCCGGGAGGCCAAGTTCAAGGAGGGCATCACCGACTGCCGGCCCTGCGCCCAAGGACCGTGCCAGAACAAGGGCGTCTGCCTGGAGAGCCAGACGGAGCAGGCCTACACCTGTGTTTGCCAGCCGGGATGGACTGGCCGGAATTGTGCCATCGAGGGCAACCAGTGCACCCCTGGAGTTTGCGGCGCCGGACGCTGTGAGAATACGGAAAACGACATAGAGTGCCTGTGCCCCCTCAACCGAGCCGGCGATCGGTGCCAGTACAATGAGATTTTGAATGAGCACAGCCTCAAGTTCAAGGACAACAGCTTTGCGGCCTACGGGTTAGTAATCATACCTCAACCTCGATTTAACCCCATATTAATATATATATTTCCCTGCTCACCGTAGAACTCCCAAGGTCACCAAAGTAAACATCACTCTGTCTGTGCGTCCATCAAGTTTGGAGGACTCATTGATTTTGTACACAGCCGAGTCTACTTTGCCCAGCGGCGATTATCTGGCTCTGGTACTCCGCGGTGGCCACGTGGAGCTGCTGATCAACACGGCCGCCCGTTTGGATCCCGTGGTGGTGCGATCGGCGGACCCCTTGCCCCTGAACCGCTGGACAAGAATCGAGATAAGACGTCGCCTGGGCGAGGGCATCCTGCGGGTGGGCGATGGACCAGAACGAAAGGCCAAGGCCCCGGGAACAGATCGCATTCTGTCCCTCAAAACGCCCCTTTATGTGGGTGGCTACGATCGGTCGACGGTCAAGATCAACAGGGATGTGAACATCACCAAGGGGTTCGACGGCTGCATCTCCAAGCTCTACAACTTCCAAAAGGTCGTTAATCTGTTAGCGGACATCAAGGATGCGGCGAATATCCAGAACTGTGAGGAGACGAATGAAATAGGTGGAGAAGTGGATAGCGTTGACAATGAGCCACCAGTTCCGCCTCCATCCCCAGCGGTTCAAGAGAGTGAGCGGCAGGAGATGGCTCCCTGCGCCAGCGATCCCTGTGAAAACGGTGGAAGCTGCAGTGAGCAGGAGAACCTGGCCATATGCTCTTGTCCCTTCGGCTTCAGTGGCAAACACTGCCAGAATCGTAAGTTAAGCCGCAAGAAGTAAGCAATCCCATACTCACCCTGGTTTATTTACAGACCTCCAGCTCGGCTTCAATGCCTCGTTCCGCGGCGATGGATACGTGGAGCTGAATCGCAGCCACTTCCAACCCGCCGTGGAGCAATCATACTCCTCGATAGGCATCGTCTTCACCACCAACAAGCCGAACGGTCTGCTGTTCTGGTGGGGCCAGGAGGCCGGAGCGGAGTTCACCGGACAGGACTTCATCGCTGCCGCCGTAGTGGATGGCTATGTGGAGTACTCCATGCGACTCGATGGCGAGGAGGCGGTGATCCGGAATAGCGATATCCGCGTGGACAACGGCGAGCGGCACATTGTGATCGCCAAGCGGGATGAGAACACCGCCATGCTGGAGGTCGACCAAATTCTGGACACGGGTGACACCCGACCCACCCTCAATAAGGCAATGAAGCTGCCAGGCAATGTGTTCGTCGGTGAGTGTCCTTAATCCCTAATCCTTATGCAATGAATTCAATTTTTATACTGTTTACCCCCACTCTCTTTTCCAGGAGGCGCTCCGAATGTCGCGAGTTTCACGGGTTTCCGCTACACGGACAATTTCAACGGCTGCATAGTGGTCGTCGAGGGCGAAACCGTGGGCCAAATTAACCTTAGTTCAGCTGCCATCAATGGAGTGAATGCCAACGTGTGTCCGGCGTAAGTAGTCACCATCTCTTCTAAAATAAAATCCCTAGCCTTCGTAACGTGTTGATCCTCCTGCCTGCATGCCTGCAATTAGTCACTGGAGTCCTTCTAGCCTCGTTTACCAGGAGATCGGTAATGATGTAGAAATGGATAACCATGTGGTTGGCAGGGATCTGAGTTTCTTCGACGAGCTGGATCAACCGCCACCGGTGCATATATTCTATCCGCGTCCCAAGATCAATGAGTTCGCCACCAACAAGGCCCATCAAGTAGCACTTTCGCTATCGCTTGGACTTTCGATAGTCCTTTTGAGTTGCCGCCTATCGGTGATATCCTTGTGTCTGTTGCCCGCCCCTAGCTAAACTTGATTAATCAGGGTCGTAACGGGAATGATATCGAATCAGATGGGGGAATCTTTATTCGCCGGCAGTTGACTATTGGCAACTGTACCCCCTACTTAAACATGAAAGGAATCTTCTTCCATTTTTGTTAGCCCAATAGAAAGGGGGCTATGACACTTAAGCCCATGTCCTGTAAAAGGTATTATAACTGAAAAGGCGTTATTATATTTGAGCAATTCAAGATCGAGAATTTCCGGAAAAAAATTGATCCATCTAACTACTTTCTAAAATAGACGATATTCGAACCAATATTATTTCAAACTTCAACAAAGTCAATGTAGAAAATATTTTTCCTGAATAGCATCTGTTTACAGGACATATATACATGAATATTTTTTTCAATAAAAAAAGGTATTTTCCATTTAAAAATATAAAATCTAGTTAGTGTCATAGCTCCATAATCCAAATCGTTTAAAAAATAGTAAAAAATATTTGGGAGTGTTACCATTGAAATTATCGTGCCATATCATTGCAGAATATCATGTTATATTATACAAAGTATGGTTAGAACCGCAGTCAGATTAACGAACATAGATAACCGACTAGTATTAAGCGATCCTAAAGGATACTAAGAATCTAAGCGTGTTTTTTTTTCATAGTCAATTAGTTAGCACCGAATTGAACATATGCAGAATACACATATGTATATGGTATTGTTACAGATCTTATCTAGTATTAGCCACTTCTAGCTGGATTGTTCTCGTTTCGAAGCTCAGGAAATACAATTCCAAAGCTATATGCTGAACACACCTGGGCACTATTTATGAATAGGTAGATAACTCTGGCATAGATAGATAGTCGAACATAAATATATGCTACAGGAAGATCCCTCGAAACAGATATATGTGCAATCTATCCTGCGATACTAAATCTAGTCGAAACTGATCCTGCTTTGTGACCATAGCTATAAACATTGCAAAATATTACTATATTATTACGAATCATTGTGTTTCTGTTCTATAAAGAACCCCCATAGGTTATACATATATAAGTAGCGATTATTTAAATGCATTTATTCTAACCTGATCTCAAATAATCTAAAAAAGACGACTTGAGCCGCATTACAATATTTTTATTTTAGCTGAATATTATCCAAGATTAATATCTAGACGTTCCGATAAAGAAACGCACAGTTGCTCTCTTATTCTTACGTATATACATATATAAATGTTTAAAGTCAGATAAACATAGATAATATATTTACATGCATATTATAGGATCAGTAAATATATCGAATGTATGGAGAAATCAAAGTTCTTCGCGTTGAGGCAAAGTCTGAAAATGCAGTTTAGCGAAGCTTTTAACAAACTTTTACACGACTCTGAAAACACAAATGTCAAAATTATTACAGTTCGGGCAAAAAATATGTTTATACGGTTTTTATTATACTTGTTTTGATTACTTCTATTATGATTTATACTTTTCTTCTTAATTTATTTTTAATTTCCTTTACTTGTTTATTGTTTACACCAGTAACGACGAACCCTTGGGAGGAACCGAACCGCCAGTCGTCTGAGGAAACATCCAGCAACCGAAATTAGCTTTTTAATTAAAAATTAACAAATTAAACAAAAAGAAAAACAATTTTTATATATACAACATATGCATAAGCCCCAAGCAAAACAAAAAAAATTGAATATTATATGACGAACAGATAATATTAAAACAAAAAAAGAGATAAACGATCACTTCTACCACATGCTACATTGCTTCTTCGATCCTTAAGTCTAGGTTAAAGATTGTAGCAAGAAAAAAACGATTATCACAAACATTTATTTACCAAAACGCCATGCGAGAAGTGAAACGAAACAGAAACAATAATGCAATTAATGCAGATAATACAGATAAAGCCTAGAACCCTAAGAACTAACTAACTAACTAACTCGAACAACAACAACGCATACTAGCCAACTGCAACCACAACAACCACAATAGTGAAGGCATTTTAATTATAATTTTAGTCTCTAGCTATAACTATGACTACGACTCTTTTTTTTGTGAGCCCAGTGTAAAATGTTGGAAATCGGAAATTGGCCCTACACACACACACACAAGTTATTAATTAAATACCAATTGATACCATATAATGATAAATGAAATACTATGAATGCAACTATTGTGAACGAACGAAAACCGTTAAGTGGATAAAAAGCAAAAGCAGAAGATATATTAAAATGAAATCAACAACACTTTGGAAGGCTTTTAATTGTGGAAGGAATGGGTGGGTCATCCAAGTATAATATTACATTTCCATAAACTTTATACATCAAGGAATTTCCAGGAAACAGGTATTTATAATTACAAGCCAAAATCAATCACCGTAGCTTGAATGTTTATTTGCAAGTTAAGTAAGGATAGGGTAACTGAAAATTACAAGAACTTTAGCAAAGTTAGGAATAAATCAAAAACTACTTAAGATTAGATCTGTCATTTACATATGTTTATATATTTAATTCAGTTTACATACGGAAAGTCAAATCCAGGGACCGAAAGAAACAGGTATTTTATTAACTTTTTAAAATGTATATTTTTTTAATCTTTAAATAAGTATTATTTTTTGTGTCTTTCAGTAAAAGTCTCCGTGTAACAGTTAAATGAGACTTTCTTCAGTCATAATATAACAGTTATTTTCTAGGTTTATATATTAAAGTCATCGAATAACTGTTATTGCTAGACCTTTATTTTTCCGATCCGAGAACAGCATGTGTTTTCTTATTTTGATAGAAATGTCGAAGAGTAATAGTTATTCATGACCTTTAAAAAACAAGTGATGAAAAACGATTTAAAAATTATTTTTAAAATAAAAGTATAACAGTTTCGTTGTTTATGATAATGATGATAATTTATAATTTTAACTGAGCAAGGCTTTTATAATAGACAGATCTTAAAATGGGAGTGCAATATAACGATGGGTGGTGGGCTGGAGATGTTATGGAGAAGCCCTGGATGAGGACCCCTCTTCGAAGCCCCTTGCGCAGCTTCCAGGGCTCTCTCCCCCTCTCTTCGCTCTTCGGCTGCGCACCTCTACTCTCCTCGGCTCTCCTCTCCGGTGGTCTCGTCTCGTCGCTCAGCTGAGCAGCCGAGTCTATTCCCATTCCCATTCCCATGTTCACTTCACTTCGATTCGCGCCGCCGAGCAAGAAAGACGTGTGTGCTGTGTGCGGAGAACGAGTGCCGGGCCGTCGGACAAGAAATACCCAGCGATATATCAGAACCCTTGGCGCCCGCGTCGTGCTAACTAACTACCTTATTATTTTCCCTTTTTTTTGGCTGTTTCAACTACCCTGTGAGTCAACGTAAGGTGAACAAAGATTTGAAAAACACCTCTAGTGCAAGAGTCTTGAGCATTCCCCAAACCAGAGAGCGAGCGAGAAAAGTGCGTGTGCCAAGTTTGTTTTTATTTTTAAAACGGCAACCGGCTAAAAAGGCAGCGGCGTCGCGTAGAAAACACCTAATAACTATAAATTATGGTCCCTGCCGGTGGGACATCAATAATTTTCGTATGTTTGTCAAAATGCTGCCAGTAATGGTGATCCCCAGATACAATATCGTATGTCGCGCATTCGGCGGATGTGACTAAGAGCCACGAAATTCAATTTAACCCGATGCGCGATGCCAATCCAATCGCCGTGTTCTCGTGTGTCTATTTGAAAGGCTTTGAAAATGCCATAAATTTTTAATAGGTTTATTTTATTTGGGTTGCCTTTCCTCTCGACTCGCATTGTTCTCTTACTATTTGTTTTTTTTTTTGTTCGATGGGAAAAATCGCAAGAACGCCGCTTCAAGTGATCAAAATCTCTAATCAAAATATTTACCGTTCGTTTAGCGTGCGACAAGAAGAGAGCAAATTGAGGATTTACCTGCCCTTCGAAATTGCAGAAAAGCCAACAGGTGAGTTTTTAAAACGGTAAAAAGCCAGTGGCTCAAAAGTAGTTCATCTGGTCAGTACAGTCCGTAAAAGTCGGTAAATCAGACAAAATCAGGCAATATCACCCCCTCCCCCTCCCCCCAGAAAAACCACTGCCATATCGATCGATTCCAGTTGACAAGTTTTTCGCGATGGCCATGTGGACATGTCCTTTTTTGGCCAACAGGCGATGGCCAATGGCCAATTGCCAATTGCCGTTACTTTTATGTGTCAGCGGGCCCCCAACAAAAATAACAACAACAAGTGTTGCACATCAAATTCAGCGCGTACACAAACCAGAAAAGTGGGGAGCCAAACCATCCTTCATCCCCCTTTTTGCTCGTTGGTAACTTTAATGAACTGTCTATGTGCTAAGCACCAGAATAGAACCCGAAGTTGGGGAGAGGATGAGCAACGGGGAGAGGTTGCCCAACTACAGTGGGGCCTCGATAGCCCAGACTCAGTCAATTGGGAAGTAATAGAACATGTACTATAGTATACCTAAGGAGACATCTTATTCTAGCCATTTCTTAAATTAGAATTTGAATTCAGTAAGGATGAATTTGAGGGATGTAAAATATAAGACGCGATTACGCGATTTTCTTCTTAGCCAAAACCACCTGTAGTTTAAGCACGCACGTTTTTGTTGCCATTGGCAAGAGGTGAGAGAGCGGAATGCAACAGGCAGCTGGTCGCAGAACAAGATCATCTGGGAGAAAAAAGAGATACAGAGATATATCCAGAGAACCGGACTTAACCCATGGCCAAAACCAATACCAAAACCCAAACGCAAACCGAGAGCATTCCCATTTTCCTGCCTGTTCCCGCTAACAATAAATCAAAGGGCAGGGGGAAAAGCCCAACAATAAAAATCAAGGCAAGTGTCGTCGTCTCATTCTGCAGGCCAAAATGGAAAAGGGAATGGGAATGGAAGTGGAAGGGGAATGGGAATGGGAAGGGAAAGGGGAATGGGAATGGTCAGAGAGCCTTTGTCTCGTTGTTGATGGGATTTCATTATTACTTTCGATTGTGGCCCATTGAGACACAGTTCCTTCGCTCCGCCTGGTTCCTCATCGAAAATGCAGACAAACAAAAAGGTCTCTGCGTCTAAACAAAAATAAACACACCGAGCAGCATCATCATCATCATCACCATCACCGTCATCGTTCCCATTCCCATTCCGAATCCCAAACCCAAACCCAATCTTATACCTTCCACCTCGTCATCTTCCTGGGCTCCTTTGCTGCAACTCTAATCGCATAAGCAGATAGACCACGTGAATTAAGGATGAGGGGAGCAAAAAGACAGGGCCACACTGAAAGAAGGTAGAAAATAAATAAAGCGATAAATAGAAAATAAATTTCAAAAAAATTGCTTTTCAAGTGGCCTAGCATCGGGACCCCCGCCCCCGAAACCGAAATCAGAGGTCTATTCGATGTGGGGTCCATGCTAACTGACGACTCTGACGTGCTACCTATCCGAAACTTGACTAGAACAGGTCCTTTTCACTGGGGAATCGATCTATAATGAATCCATTTGAAATGGTTTAGCATAAAACGAGATAATTGGGTTGGACAGTAACAAAGGCTACAGACACTTAAATGCCCTCAGAACACGTTGGCCATACCAATCAATTGGCCCACCCATGGTTAGAACGTAGAGAAAGGAATGATCTTATACCACTCGTAATATTATGAATACGTTTATATTCATTTTATAATGCGTATAAGCAATCCCAAAGATCTGAACCATCATTTTCCCATTCTTTGTGCTCAAATTTCATGGCCAAAACGATCGCGATCGATTCTCGCACTCCATTAATACTGATCCACTGATCTAGTTTCCAGCCAGCCCACATTCTACCATATCTCACAGTCATAATGAGGAAAACAGAATGCTCCGAGTGCATTCGCCATCAAAATTAGACATTGACACCTTTTCCCCTTGGGATTTTGATTTTGATTTTGATTTCGATTCCAAACGGATTTTGGTTCCGTAAAAACGGCGCATAAAAATTATTTCACGCCACGCAGAAATGGGCCCCCAAGAAATTATGATTAATGTTGAAAACATAAATTGGATTTGATTTCTGTTTGTTTGCCGCTTTCGTGCAACTTTGTCTCGCATTTATCTCGCTCTTTTTTCGGTGTTTTGTGTCTTTTTCGGGGTTATTTCTTGGTCTCGGTTGGTCTTCATGGATGTGTTTTTTTCTTTTGATTTTCATTTTTGTATTTTTTGCTAGGTAGCCGCCGCCTGTTCATTAGCACAGACTAATCATTGGAGCACAAGAGGCTGCCGTGGGGCAGGAGAAAAAATATCGGGGAAAAGGTGGCAATCAACGTGAATGAATGAATGGTTGAACTCTCGTCTCGACTTTGAATCTTGTGAATGAGCCTGAAACGCGGAGACGGCATGAATGGGAGGTTTTCGTTCGGAGTATGGGTTATGTTTCTCCTCGCCTTTTTTCTGATCTTCGCTCTCCCCCAGCGGAAGTGTAATTGCAGGCTGAATTGGCCCGGATTCCGATTCGGATTGGGAATGAGAATGGGTATGGGTATGGGAGTCATCTTGGCCCATCTTAGCCCTTTTTTCAAGCGGCGCCTTTGCGTCACCGTGTAAATTAGCTCCGACAAAAAAGACAAATGATGGCAAAGAAGAATCGGGGGCTAGAAAACGGAAGCGCATTACAAGCTGCCAACGTAATGTGATCACATATGTTCTTCTAAATGATGCCACGCCCACAGGTCCCGAGATTCTGGGTATAATGGAAGATCTCAGGCACGTAGATCTGTAGCTTATCGCAGAGACAATAAAACAACTTTTGGATTAATACACATGTATGCTTTATGGGTTATTACAAAATATTAGTCTAAAAAGTAAAAACTATTAAAATTGTAGGTCCTAGGAATTATAGGAATTATAGATATGGCTAAATATATAACAAATTTTTACTATTTAATAGTAAAACAGCTATAAAAAAGTAATGTTTGTATGTTATTGTTGTTAGCTTAACTATATTATTAGTCAAATTGACAATTTCATGAGTTGCTCCCATTTACCAAATAGGTTAATACGATGGATTGTTTTGTGTGTACAGAGATTACCACGATGTTCCCCAAACAGTGAAAAGCATCGAATGACTTTATAGAGAGCAATATCATCAGCAATCCAGAACTAACCGCAGTAGTTGGAACAGAAACGAAGACAAAGACAGTAGTGCATAAATAAATGTTCCCCCGTTTCCTAACCGTAGCACTCCTTATCAGCGGGGACATCGGCGGTCCGTGACGATGACAACGGCAACTTTGGAGCGGCGACACTCCAAATCACCGGCAGACAGAGAGAGATGGACTGCCGACGAGAAGAAAGACTGAGATGGCAAACAGAGACAGACAGGAAGTGGGCTATTTGCACTCCAATCCCAAAACAAGTCATAATTTTCGACAATAGGCCGCAGACGACAACACTACGGTTACGTGGAATTCGGCTACCTCCGCCCTTTCCTCCTTTATCTCCTATATCTCCGCCCTCGGGAGTTTTGATAAAGTGGCTCGTCGGCGGGACGAAAGACATTTAATAAGCGACAATTTAGCGCTGAAGTCTGACATTGACACAGGTAGGGAATCGCAGTAACAATGCCCAGGTAGCCTCCTCCTCCGTCTTCATGTTTCTTCTGCCTCTGTCGTGCTCAGTGGTTCAGGAACTCCGGCAAGTGTTCACCGAAAAAAACAACAAAAAACTCGGAGGGATGTGCGGATGTTGATATCTTCAGCGTAGATCGGCTAGAATGGTTCGCCTGGTCTATAAAACCAATTTTAAACGGTTCAATTCGCATCACAAGAGTGCTGACAAAGAAAATCTAGGAATATCGGATCACGAAGTATTGGAAATCAATTGTGGAATATTCCCTGAAACTAATGAAACGATTTTGGAATTAAAGTACTTACTTTAAAGTTGTTTTAGACCATGATATTTTACAAACACCCGAGGCAAAGAGAATATATGTATATCGGATCAGGACAAATTGTGAATGTATTGTTGATTATTTCCTTAAACTGATATAACGATTTCGGAATTTTGAGTAAATAATTTAAAGATGATTAGATTGAAAACATGCTCTAGACCATTCACCCAGAAGAGTTACAAATATCCGAGACAATATATTACAAGTTCAAATACTGTTGCTCTGCTGATCGTAGACATATAGATAGCTTTTTATAAGACCCTCAGATCGGAATCCGATGGCTCATCATCACATGATTTTCATCGACCCCAATGGAAAACTTTCGGTTAATCAATGAACCAACATAAAACGAAAACTGTTTGATGGATTAGAGTACAGCTTTCCCCTTTTTTCCCGCACACACCTGTTTCAAGCAGTTTTTAATTAGAGCCTTCCCAAGAAGGGAATCTCGGGATCCGCGGGGTGTTGGGGTCTTGGGATGGGAGGCCTGGGGCCACGATGATGTATTAATTTCCCACAAGCACTGTGAAAACATTGAATAATCGAACTGCTTTGATTTCCGACTAACTAACCATCAAAGCACTTGGTTCCTCAGGGCGGTGAACAAAAGGGTGCCTAGCTCAGCACGTAGCTGTCAGCGTTAGATGGGGGAAAAAAGGGGGCGATCGCCAGCTGTGAATGGGGTTCGGTTCAGAACATTTGTGAACTCAATTAAAATAGCAGACGATCGGTATTTCTACGGCCAAAACCCCTCCCCATTTATTTTTTCTCGATCTCGGGAGATCCATGCAAATGCTGAAAACCGAGATTCCAATGCCTATTCGAACTTTGCACGTCTCAAAGCCCCCTCTATGTGGTAATTAAACCTGCGTGGAAACAGGAAAAAACGAAACGAAATAAACACATACCAGAGTGAGCAGTAACATGAAGAGTAGGAGACCGCGAATGAATAGACAGACATTCCTCGGCCACCGTGGGGCAATTAGAAAATGAGTTCGAAGCCAAGTCAGCGAACGCGAA